TTCATTGTCATCTGGAGGGGAATCATCATGTGCATGGCATTTGGTTTAAATCTACTGTGGGTGACATTTGATCCAAATCACAGTGTTTCAAATACTTTTTAACCTACAAAATGAGAAATATTGTTCCATATCCATGACTGTTTTTGTTTAAGATTAATGTAAGTTATAATTTAGATAGTTATATAGTGCAAGTTTGTTTACATAACTGTTTACGAATCATAACTTGTGTAGTTCACTAGTTATAAATTGGTGATTGTTATATTATTGTGTCATGTTACTAGAACCTTCTGAGTTTTCTCATTGTTTTAATTGAGTATTATTGCATCATAATATCTAGTAGTGTATGAAATGTTCTAGACCTCTGCTGGGGTATAAATGTGCAACCAAAATGTAGTTCGATAGACACAGATCTAAACTGCATGATTGTGAATTTAGCCATAAAGAGTGCATAGTGGCAATTTTTAAAGTGAAATTATTACAGACTGTATTGTAATAACAAAGTAGGAATAATAATGTCTTTTCAATTGTGTTTTAAAGTAATTGAACCAGACTGTGTGGACTTTGACAAAAAAAAAAAGACAATTATTTAAAGCTCTAGATACAACCGTGGTAACCAATAATTGTTGTGATGATTTTAAAGTGTTTTTTATATGTATCTATTTTGATGTTTTTCGAGAAAGCAGAAAAAGTCTTGTTGTTTCAATGAAATGACATAACTATGCCCAATGCCTTGATAATTGTAGGGGGTGCACACAAACCATGTTTGTTTCCATTCAAGATGAAAAAGGCTCCATGGAAAGTGAGTTCTGGAATACATGTCAGAATGGAGAATTGAAAGATACAGCAGGTCTGACATATTATAAACAGAGATCTTTGTTATTCATCAATAATGATTTGGACAAGCAATTTCTAATTGACCAAAATAAAGTAAGTTTTATTGCAACAGAATGTTCGACCAAGAGTAATGGCCTGACCAGAATCTTCATACTTATGGCATGTCCAAAGGTATAAGAGACTTTAGAGAGGCTAGAGTCCTCAAAGAGACAAAATTTTTTGTGCAGTAAGAGAAGGAAACTAGAAGCTCTATGTTTCAGAGATGTTAAGGAGAAGGCTGAGCCAACCAACAAAGGAGTTGATAAAAAATAACCATATTAGTAAGATACCAAGAAGGGGTCAATACTGATTTTCAAAGCTTGACCAGCAATCCAAATGAGTAGACTTCCAAAGAAGAATGGATGCTGCAGCAGAGAATGCCTCCAAGGAAAAGGCTAGGAGGAGCCAACTGTTTATATAGTAATAAAAGTGCAGACTCAATGAGTACATCATCCATGCAAAAGCCCTCTGAACCATGTTGAAAACATATGGGGCTTTAGCTACTTTGAAAGGAAGGGCTCTGAACTGAAAAAAACAAAAAACATTGTGGGTGAAATGAAGAAAGTAAAGGGTGGCTGGATGAATTGGAGTGTAAAGAAAAGCACCTTAACCAGTGACCTTGGTCATTCAAAACCCACGAAAGATCACCCACCTTAGATTGAAGAACCATCCCATCTTGAACAAGAGATGACAAGAAATTGGTTCAATGATGAAAGATGTATCATGGACCACCAATCCTCTATGTTCTTGAAAACTAAAAAAAAAAAAATAGTGAGTGCATTCACTGCCTTGAGTGAAGACACAGCTGAGAAGAATTTATACTAGAACCCACCATCTGATGTACAATGGTGATAACATCACTTAACATTAGAGTATCTCTAGTCACCACTGAAGTAAAATAAGACAACTCCTATTAAGCAGTGTCTGGAACTAGGGAGATTTCAGAAAGTTAGGTATGAGAATTTATAACCAAACCATGAAACTGATTTTTTTAATATCTTTCATTTAAATAAGTAAAATCAATTTAAGAGAAATAATAAATCTGAGGTGAAAACATAACTGAATTGTTTCAGTTTAAAATACTAATATTGTACAAAAGATCCTTTATACTTAAGAAAAATAACACATCTAAACAGTACAATACTGAGGAAAAGAATGAGCTTTTAATTTGCACAAAGTGTTCAAGTTGAGTACGAGGTAAATAGGTTTTGTTGCCCTCCTACTGGTGGAGTGGTATAATTTGATGGTGATTGCAACAAAGTACACATTATTAAAAAAAAGAGTGAGAACTTTTTTAAAGGCTTGCCATATGCATAAGAACTTTTTGGCAGTGGCACCAAAGCACTAGCTAGTTGTTCTGTGAAGAGCTGGTCACCACAGAATGAACGTATCTGTTTTACATACTAGCAGCTGACATGTTTATCTTTTCAGACAGATGTATCTGTGTTAAACACTAGTAGCTGAGATGACTTGCACCGAGCATAGCTGTTTCAAACACTTGTAACCAACATGTTTTGTTTATATGTAGCTATTTTTAACAAAGATGATTAACATAACCATGGTTGACAGTAGATGTAGTTGTTTTAAAAACTGGTGGCTTATATCAAGTTTATTTACTAATAGCTGTTTCAAACATTAGTGACTAATATGGTCTTCTTTGACTGTATCTGTTTTAATCATGGTTGGCTAACATAACCTTTAGTGAATACAATTGTTTTCAAAACAGCTGACTGGCAACATTCTTTGTTTCAAACACTGTTAGCCAATATTTTCTTGCTCAAATGTAGCTATTTCAAATAGCTGGTTCATTTTTTTTCATACAACTGTATGACACTGGTAGTTAATGTGACTATCAGCATATTAATGAAAAAAAATGACATAATACTTATTGTTTGTTTTTACAGTTTGGAAATGAAGGATAATTCATATACATCTTTTTAAAAATTCATATTTATTTGCAAACTGCAATTTTAAAATGGTTAAAACTGGTTTAGTTTCATACCTTTCAATCACTATGGAGAGAGAGAGAGAGGGGGAACAAGTGTTCATTGTAACTCTAAAAGTTTAAAAGTCAAATCAGAATATCAAACTTACCTTCTGCAACATTTCACTTCTGGTTTCAGAATTTAATTTGACAGACACAAAATTCTTAATTATAGGTACATCTATAGAAGTGTTCTTCTTAACTACATTACTTCTTGAAACCTAATATAAAATACATATATTTGTGTTAACATAAAAGTCCAAAGAAAAATAACAGACAACACAATACGTATAGAGTAAAGAAAAACTCTAACACTTCATGATTTATAGAAAATGTATGTAATGTAAATGTTTTCCTACAGAACTCCATACAATGTACTATAAACAGGCTGTATAATCAAAAATACTGTAAACAATACCAACCACACTAAAACAGCAATAAATCAGTGACCTTGGAAAAATATAAGATGTTAAAGCTACTCCAAGAAAAACCTTAACAAAAAACTTCAATGAATTAACCAGTTGACTCTGTTTTTCAGTATATTTGGTTTAGAAAACATTTTAAATTTTGTACTGTATTTTAGATACAATTTTTCCATCGAATGTTGTCTTTTCAATTGCTAAGTATGGGGAACATGTAAAAATTCTGACTTGGAACATACAATATGTACACATTGTTCATGTAACTTAATAAAACTGAATGAAGTTGTACTATACACAGAACTTGTGATATTTTAATTTAAGTGTAGATGTTTCTTTTCATTGGATATATATTTATTACTTCCATAAAAGTATGGTCTAATTAGTATCCTTGCAGGCAGGAGACACAAACAGAGGTGTAGAATTTTCTAAAGGGAATTTTATCAAAGGGAAGAAAATGCTAAATAAAATCTGCTCCCCCCACTCTCCATCCCATAAAAACACACACAAACAAAAAAGTAAAATATAACTTTTCCAAATTTATTTTTATTTAACATGAACACAATCAATTAGCAATTGATAATCATTCTTGCGTAATGAAATTAGAAATAAAGAAAAGTAAAATGCATTGACAACCCAATTGTTTGCACAATTCTTATGAGTTTAAATCTGTAATGTTTTTTATCACAATATCTAGATTAAATGAGCTATTTTGCAGAAATAGCACGAAGGTACTACCTGAAGATGCAGAATATTTTCTAAAGTTAATAAAGTGAAATAGATAAACATGTTTTTAAAAATGTCTGTCATAAAATGTGAAACATTGAATCAAAAAAAATTTTTGTTATATTCCCTGTCTGCCAGCTGTATGAAATTTTTACAGTGCAAAATCAATAAGTTGGATGTATGTGAGTATTAATAATCTTATTTGAATTTTATATAAATAAACGAAGACTTGCATGCAAAATACTGTATTCCCAAACAGCATGCAAAGTTTTAATCAATGTTGTCATTTGGTTGGTACCATTGTTTTGTGGTTATGGTTAGCGTAAAACGTTTACTCAGCATTCTTATTTGGTTTGTACCATACAGTTACATTATGAAAGTCGATTCAAAGTTGGGGAACATTAACTATATAAATTTATGTATGTAATATTTAATAGGTTGATTTTCTATTCAATTTACAATGTTTAGTCTTTTTTATAGCAAAGAAGCATATTCATATTTTTCAAAATTTTTTCTAGTTATAAATTAATGGTTCTCATAATTATTGAACAAATTATGAACTAAAGATTAATACAACTACCGAAAAACAAACAGGTTTCACTTATTCTCAGATACTTAATTGGTTCATCTAATATGGATTTGTATAATAATTAATAGTAATGTACATATTATTAATTTGGCCCTCAAAACCAAAACAGTATTGGTTTGAAGGGCTGTTACACATAACTAGTACAATACTTTTGCTTTTTAAATCCTAGATTTTTAATTTTAACTTTTAATTAAGTTAGTCTCCCAAACCTTACACTGCAATAACATTTTGTTCTATACAAAGTATATTCTTGTTTCTCATTCTGTTTAACATTTTTGCTACTAAAAAAGCAATAACATCAGTCAATGCAGAACTGTTACATAAAGGTTTATATGCTAACATTTAATAAAAGTTAAATCAATGAGCAAAATTACATTTTCTGATCCTTAATATCTAACTTTACTATAATCGTGCAGTAAACATTAATGTAATGATTGATTCAACATTTTCATGCTTCCAAGTATCCAGTTTTGTCATTTTGAGTAAATCAGCTTGTTTTTTCTGCACCTTTCACAAAGCAAACTACTGTATAAAATAACATATCGGATATTTATCAAATAAAACCATTAAAAAATATCATAAGAAAACCTATAAATATATATAACTTTATTATCTTATTTGAAATTTCATAAAGTGTATTTGTTTTTTTTCGGGGGGGACAACATGTTTTATATTAGTAGGCCTTTTTAGTCAAAGCAATGCCATTGGTTGCTCAATTTTGTGTGAAATGGCATATACCATGTTTTGCATCTGAACTCTTTACATATATTTGTTCATGTATTTCAATTGTCTTTAACATTTAGTCATTATGATTTTACAGTGCAGAATGAAGAATACCTCATGCATGAACTGATAAAGAAATCATGGTTTATATCAATGGTGCTATAGACTAAAATGATGACAGTTTTAAAATTTTTGTAATATTAGATATATTCTTCCAAGAGTTGATAGTGAAACTTTACTGGACTTCTACAGTACTGTAAACAAAAAAAATTCTTGAATTAACTTAAATGCAATTATTACTGTGGCTGTGAATTAAAAGGATAGGTAGATTTGTGTACATAGATTTGTTTGAGGTTTAAAGGTATACATTTTTAAATGTTTTTCTGTATGCCCTAAACTTCTGCAGTTTATAATTTAAGAAATTGAGTGATTCTCAAGAAATCTACCCATAATATTTCTCTTGAGGTATAATAAATACTGTGAAAAAAAAGAAAGAAGTAAGAGTTGTTTAATGGGTAAAGTATAATGGTAAAACTTGTTGTCCCTGGGCATTGGGCAATATGAATTCCTGATTATAAATACATATAACATAGTGCTCTTTTATGTTTTTGAAATTCCTCAAAACATATTTTTTAATTTTATATACTTATGGATAATGATGTAGTACCAAATTTAAAAGTGAACTGTTGGAAGTATGGAAGCAGTGCTCCTCCAACACATGAATTAAGAGAATGGTCAACATTCCCTTGTGACCACATAGCACTATATCACTACTTCTTAATGCAGCACTAACATATGGAGAATATAACATGCCACTTAAATGGAACTTGCACATTGAAGTGGTTCATGAGTGTACAAACATTCTAAAGATAGCATTCTTTTAATGTAACTACTTTAGCATAACTTGAAAAGTAAATAAAAAAAACAGTGTGGATGGATGAGCAGTCTATAAAAGATTACCTGAAGTCTAGTGCTGTTAATTCTTCAACACATCTACAGACATTTAGACCGAAAATGTTATGGAACTGCAAATGAAAAGAACTTTGATATATGTTGTTCCAACAATAAACAAAATGTAAGAATACAAGAAACTTTGGCTATCAAGAAATTTAAACTATGGCTGGATTCTAATGCATCAGCAATTGAAATCCTTCTAAAAATGTTAAATTTGGTTTTCAATTACAATTCAATATTTACAGTATTTTAATTAGGAAACAGTTTTTATCACATAAAATTTACTTGATATTATGATGAAGATACCCTACTGTATGCTGGTTAGTAAACATTGAAGCCAAGAAACTACTTAAAACATTGCCATAAAGCTATAGCTTTGATGAGTTATTTTAATATTTTTTTTCTTCTCAGTTGCATTTTCTGCTATGCAGTTTGTATAAGTCTTTTTTTTTTGTAATTCTACATTTATGATATCTACATAAATTCTTTCATCAATAAGAATCATAGATGTAAGTATACCTAAAAAACTAAAAAATAAGTATTTCTACTGTAATTTGCAAGTACATCAGTGATTTCTAAAAAAAATACAAAACATAGTAGAATGGAAAATGGGGATGAGGGAATATATATCTATCTTACGGAATGTAACAGTGATATTTCATTTTACACAAACAAACTTTTATCTATATGGATTATACACTTATTTAACTAAACTTTCTCATACCAACCAAATAAAATATTACAGCATCTACAGTTAACATGATCAGTTTATAAAGATAATATTTTACAGAGTATTTGAGCAAATGATACAAAACCTTTTCTATTCTAGGGTTATGTCAAGATTGGGTAATTAAAGTTTGCAATAGTATTTCATTCTTAGAAGATATAAAAGATAAAAAATAGTTGTTGAATATACACTTACATAAAACACATGTACCAGTTTTGGAAGTTCCTAGAAAAGGGTGTTTCTTATTTACTTTAAAATTAATAAGAATTTTGTTTAAAGTCAAATAATAGTATTTTCAGAAAAAAGACTTATTCGTGTGTGTGTGTGTGTGGTGGTGGGGGCTATTAAAGCTTTAATGCAATTTATAATTCAAAATTTTGTAATTTTAAGTATGATATACATAAATGTTAAATCCAAGGAAACATATACTTTTGTATAAGGATGAAAACAGAGTATATTTGAGCTGAAGTTGGTCAAGAGATGTGACACTTGTTAACAGACGTACATGTATAGTACAAGTACTTGCTAAGTAAAAGATGCTATATTAAAAATTTTACTAAACACCTTGCATCCAGATGTTTGGAATCTTAAATGTTTTTTTTCTTTGTAAATGTCTTAGCATTTACCAAGCAATGCTTGACATGCTTTTGGCATATTTCCAATTTTATAACTTGACATACTTCAGCTAACTGGTTAAACAAACACATTCTATGTGTGAGAAATGGAGTACACAATTAACAATTACTACGGCCTGAACTTTGTGGTTCTTATAAACTTATGCACTCATTTCTATTTATTGTGGATGCTTTGCAAATATGATCAACATAGATAAGTTATTAATAGAGAATTTCACAACTGGATACTATTTTTCCTAAATATACAAGGTGTACTTCTAAATACATGAACATATATAACTTAGACTTTTAATAAACAAAAACAGGTATGTTATTTACTACATTTAGAATAACATTCATTGAATAATCTAATGTGAAAGAAGTTAAAATTTCCTAATTCATAATTGTTTATACCAATAAAAATTATTTTACTGTCACACCTATAAAAGTTAAATAACAAGGGCCAAATATATAATACTCAAACCATCTTGTAACTAAAGTAGAATAAAAATATTTCTTAACTGTATTAAAATTATAATTCAAGACTAATTGGACTGATACTCTGTTCTGTATTTACTACAACAGTCCTCAACTTACAGCTTGTCAATTCTCAAGTTAAAAATACCTATCTAGTATCAAAATAAGTCTCTTTTCAGGGACAGAATGAAACTATGGAGAAAACTATACTGGAATTTGAACTATCTTGATGTAAGATTATAACAATGAAATATCTAAAGCACTTCTGATTCTGTATTTCAGGTGGTTGTTCAAAATATTTCATGTCCAAACAGATAAAACTGTGCATAAATCTTAAACCAGTGCTGTTTTCTAAAAAAAAAAAATTATTGGCACAATTTAAATGTAGAGAAGAAGAATTACACATAAACAGTAAATGGCTTTCATTAATATTCTCATTATCATTAGATACAAAAGCAAGTCAATAAAAAGTTTCAAGATAACAATGTATCATTCTCAGATTCACATATTTCCCTTAGAGTAACAGGAAGTTTGCAAGAAAAAGTATTTAGGAGTGAAAATCTGAATTATTCTACCTCAAAAAGCTAGAAGAAAACAACAGAGACTGAATATAAAATACAACACAGTGAAATATTCTTTATAAACAACAAATAAAGTTTAAAAGAAGTGTATATTTTATGTGGCACCTATAGTGGAGGGTTGTATTACAGTGCAAATAAGGTAGTCATATATTCTCTTGAATTATCATTATACATATTACCATGACCAGACTGAGAAAACAAATTATATACTTCAAAATAAAGGATGTATACTTGGGGCATTACCTGACTTATCAGTGGAAAATTTTTTTGTATTTTTCCTCAATTCTGTATTTCTATACATAATGCTCTATGTTATATCAGTTTTTACTACGAAATAGTGCCCATAACACCTTAGCTGAATGACCTAATTCCACGAGTAACTATGATGATAGGAATATTAAGACTACATGCACAATATGTAGAGAAATTTGAAATTGTTTTCTATTAGCTAAGGGGATAGGAGGCACATGGTAAGTCTGCGTACCACAACATGCCAATTATTACTAGCAATATTATCAATTTTTATGATATTATGATTTTTTTCTTTTTAAAGTACAATTGAGAGTGAATTATGCAATATCTGAAAATGGTATGCAGTTAACGTGGCTTTAATTTATCTCAGAAATAGACTTATGTTGTAGTTGAAAGAACTGCTGTACTTCACCCTTCAAAACCTATCTACAAATATATTTTGATTTCAATGTATTCTGGTAAATTTTCTAAATTTTTTGGGTGTCCATGTTTATTGGACTATATGTTTATTTGAGTCAGGTAATGATCAAATGCCATCATGTAGGTACAAATGATATACATCCAATAAAACAACAACTGCACAGACTTCACTAGAACATCAAGAATGTTGTAAGCACTGAAACTGAGTGCTTGGTCATCTTCAGAAGTGACAATCAGAGAGAAGAAAGAAATGCCAAGGTTCTATGTGATCTGTAGTTAACATACATTAATGGCTTTCTTGTACTGCATATGGATTAATGTCTCAGTCTCTGGATGCATTATAGAACATCCATGGATCTTAACACACTATATCTGGCCTTTAGATGCTAGCACAGATGATGAAATAGATGTAAGGCTGTTTTCATCACCCAAATAGGAGTGTATAATTTCATGTAATGCCAGTCTCTATAATACCCCATACAATTTTTGAAAGGATTATGAAGCTTACACTGGGAAACTTACAATGGAAAAAATATCTCATCTGTGTGGGTAAAATGGTAATTTTTAATTACATGTTGAGGTCACAGTTGAGAATTTGAGATTGTATTCCAGTGCATTAAGCTTGAAATTAAAACTTGGAATGTGTGTTTTCATGAAAAAATTGGATTTTCTCGGTCATATAATAAGTTTGGAAAGAGTATCTACTGATTCTGTGGAGAATGCAATGGTTAAGGTCTGAGACAAAAGAAGTCTGTAGCTTCTAGGCATTAATTCATACTATTAATCAAAGGTTTGTATAATCTTTCTCCAAAATAGTTGCACTCCTGTCTCATTTGATTATAGCTGATATGCAGCTTGTGTTATGTGAACACAATTTCCAGGCTTTAAGATTTTTCATTCATACTAGATACTGATGTCATTGACTGTGGAAATGGAACATTGTTTTCCAGATACAAGATAGTATAGAGCTTGTAAATGTGTTTGTAAGCCATACACTAACACCTCCTGAACACTGATGCCATGAAACAAAGAAGGAATTGCCTGCAGTTTTAGTACTGCTCAGTGTTTAAGACCAGTAGTTGTATGGTTGTATGGTAGAAAATTCACCTTTTCAGTGGATCATGCATCTATGATATGGCTAATGGACGTTGATAATCCAGAAGTTATAACTGTGCATTGGATAATGATGTTGCAGTAGTACAGTTTTGTTGAGAAGAATGACCATCATAAATTTAGTATTAGTATTGACATGCTCAACATCAGGCAATAAAACAATCCACTACAAATGAAGAATGACATGTTGTACCATGATTATGAACCACAAAGATATGGTACTAATCTGTGAGGTAGCTAGTGGTCTCCAGAGTTCCAATGCAGGAGATACTTCAGACTTTGCATAATGTGAAAACTGTAAGACAAAAGAGAATGTCATGCACTATTTCAAACACGCAAAAGAGATTTAACAGGATACATTCATATTAAGATGATTAAGTTATAGGTTCTCCCCTATTTCAAACATGCAAAAGAGGTTTAACAGGACACATTCATGTTAAGGTGAGTAAGTTGTAGGTTCTCCCCTATTTCAAACATGCAAAAGAGGTTTAACAGGTCACATTCATGTTAAGGTGAGTAAGTTGTAGGTTTTCCCCTACAGAGAGTCATCTTAGATATAGTTGGTTCTCTACCTGAAACTGAGAAGTAATCAGTATGTGCTGGTTATCAATTACTTACCAAGTGGGCTAAAGCTTATCCACTGGTCAATATATCAATAGTTTGTTGTTGATGTGCTGGCTAAGCAATAAATTACATGGATTTGGAGTACCTGGAGAGATACAATAGAACCAATTTCAATAGTAAATTGATAGCAGAGTTGTGTGCAGTGTTGGATGTGGTGAAAACATGAACTTTACATAAATCATTCTATATGATGGTTTGGCTGAATAGGCAGTGTATACTTGAATGTGTAAGTTTGGCAAGTTTGTGAACCCTGATCAAACAGA